CCCACTAAGCGACCTAAGCCAATTCTGTTTCAGAAAAAGGAGTCCTACTGTTTACATATAAATACAAAGTCTGACAGGCCCAATCTTCGTCAGACTCCTATTTCGGTCACAATAACGATTTTCCCTGCAGTGGCTCTCTACTGTATACAGTATCTAAACATCTTTTCCCTGTCCTTGTCCCTAGTTTTGGGATTATTTTCCAGTTTTGAAGCATTCCTCCCAAGGCGCAATCTCTAGGCACCATTCCGGGGACCTTTTTCCCCTGCTCTCAGAACTCCTATTCCCCATCCCTCCAGAACGCTACCATGAACTCCCCAGCTCACTGGTTACCACACTCTGATTCTCGGATTTGGGGCCCAATCCCTCAGCAGTGCTACACTCCCATCTCTCGGGTTAATAGGGGCGTACTGCTGGCACTTTGTCAAGTGGAGCCGCAGCTCGGCACTCAGCGCTCGCTTCGCACTGACGGCGCGTCTCAGTCACACACACTCAGGAGTCTCAACCGACCCCAAGGAAAGAGTTAAATCCCCTTACCTTGGTCTGTGCACGAAGTTACCGGGTCGCCATGGCCAACACCCGTGCCTGCCTGCCCCTTGGCTTTGACAGAGCCCGTCCTTTATGTAACAGTCTTGGCTTTTTATCGGCCGTCCCAAGGAGTCACCTCAGCACCCAGACAGGACCGCTGCCATCAGCGGGGTGCCCCTATCCTGTGCAGGGCAGCAGGGAAACTCCCAAAGAGGCGATCATAATCCCGGACGAGCCCCCAAATTGTTGGAAATATCCAAGTCATGTTTGTCAGGACGGTATCTCTGATAACAGCAGATTTTATTTGCGATTGCAATGGCGGCGTCCCGCAAGCAGGAGCGCCTATGGACACAACATGACAGCCTTTAGACCCTGTTTTCTCCCCCTGCCCCCCCCCCTCCCCTGTTTCCCCACTGGCTGGGTACTCCAGGCACACAATCTTACAGAAGGTTTTTCTAAACAGAACAGAACTTTTTCTAAAGCTGTAGATCTGGAAGATGTTAATTAATGTCGGTAAAATGGGAGCAAAGAATTTAAGGCAAAAATAGAAATAAGATGTGTCAACAAGCTTTCCATTCTCTAAAATGCTTTGGGGTCTTAGTTTAAAAAGGCGATAGCTTTTGAGAAGATTTAATGTCTGTTTTCTTCCTTTCTCTTCTTTTTTTTTTTCTTTTTTCTTTTACAAAAAGTACAAAGAATGTTTTCCAGCACTGTGTTTGGAGGACATAGATGCCTTCAGGCACAGGGACAACGACACCTGGTGCCAGTGTTCATGCCCTGCAACCCACACTCAGCAGCCACCTCAGCTCTACTCTGCTGCTTACATGATCTCCCTTACCTTCGCGGGGCTTCCAGCTTTCCTGACTGTGGTTAAGGGTATCTTTTCAGCAGGCAGTCTGTACGCATGTCCTTTCCACTGCTCTCCACATTTTCCTTTCCCTTTTTTTCCTTTGCTTCTGCATCCCCAGTTGCTGCACTTAAGCTTATCCTCACTTGCTTCAGCTTGGGACTCTGCTACCCTGCTGTCATGGCTTTGTTTTCTATCACATTATACCGTTACAGCCGTTTTCCCCTATGTTCCTTAGTTTCCCATTGTTTTCCTCCTTTTTATTGTTTTCCAGTTTCCAGCAGCACAGGGAGCAGTGCAATCAGAAGTTCTCTCTCCTCCCTTTTTTTTTTTTTTTTTTGTTTGATTTTTTGTTCTTAACTACTCTACATTCTCTCACAATCCTTTTAAAAAACCAATTTTATCTCAGCTGTTTTTTTTCTTCTATCTCCCCCCCTTCTCTCATTGGGAGGGGTGTCACGTGATTAACTCTTCAAACTGCAACACAATTCAAAGAAATGATACGAAATTAAATGCAATCCAATGTAATGGAATGAAATCCAGTGTAACCCTAGCCCTAACCATAAACCAAACACAATACAGTGTAATGAAATACAATGCAGTGGGTTGAAATGAAATACAACAATAATGGAACGTAATACAGTCACAACCCCAACCATAAACCTAACTTAACCCTAAACTTTTCACTACGTCTAATCTACCACAAGCATTAAACCAAACCAGTAATACAATGGGATGAAAAGTAACGCACAGCAAGGCAATTAAATGCATGACAGTGGAATGCAATGCAGTCCTAACCCTAACCGTAACCCTTCTCCTAATCCTAGGCCTAGCCCAAACCCTAATGCTAAACCTAACCCTAACCCTAACCCTAACACCAACCCCAATCCCAACACAAATCCTATCCTTAACTCTAGCCTAACCCTAACCCGTAAGTAATACAATGGGATGAAGCCAAAGGCAATACAAAGCTAAATCCCAATCAAGCTGAAGTTCATGAATTCAATAGAAATTTGATCTGTCTGGCTAGTGTTCCCTATGAACCATGTGTAATGCCTTAAGAAATCTCCCTACAGTTTGTCCAGCTGTGTTATGCCGAGCTGCTACTTCCTTCGTCATGGAAGACAGTAGAGGAAGGAGAGCCAGCTAACACTTGCCAATGTGAAAACAATGCAAGGCTCAATCATATTTCAGAATTCATATAAAACATCTGCCCTTCCTGTCCAGACATTCTCCAGCGTCAACCGACACATCCCTTTGACCAAGGACAGAGGGAGCTAACACCAGCAGGGCTGCTGGAACTCCACAACAAAATGCCCGTTTCCCTCTTTTCGGCTTTATTGTATAAAATGCATTATTTGCCTCTGAGTCTGTGCTTAGACGTTCTATATTAAGCAAACAAACAAAAAAGGCTGTGTGCAAGTCTTATTCATATTGAGAGGGAATTGTGAAAAGGGACATCTCCATGCAGAATGTGTCATGTGCCTTTTAAATTAATGATTTTGATCTCATTTTTTGTAGCAACCTTCATTGAGAGGAAATTTTTATGGGTCTGGGGAAGAAAGAGTTTAGAAGTCAGTTGTTGCACATACAGTTAGCACATTAGTTATAATCATAAAATCTCAAACCATTAACAGAGATTATTCAAATTGGTAACCCACAGCTGCTTCTTGTCATCATTCAACACCTGGTATGTATATGAGACAGTGCTGTGCTCACATTACTCAGACATCTGTGGCATGATGGGTTTGGAGATGGCACAGAACAGAGGAATAACAAGAGCTTTTGTGAACCTGAGAGAGGAAGGGTCTTTAAAGATGAGGGGATTAATCCCTCTCTCTGTTCATGTACTTGTTATCTATTACTCCATGCAATAAGGAATATAGAAGAGCCAATGATAATTCATGCATCAAGATAATCCAAGGTAAGAAGCCACAAAAAAAGTGTAATAAGTACATTCAGATCAACACCTGACAGGCTGACAAAGGAAAATCTCTAGCTTAGCAGCTGAGATGATTCCTGATTTTCTGAGCAGTGACAAATGTGGCAACCAGGCATGCACTCAGATGTGGATGATCCAAATTGTTTATTACAGGTTCTCACATCACTTACTTACATTCACAAGTTTTCTGTTTAGCTTTCCCATCGGCCCTTACAACTTTCCCACCCGCCTTTACATGTCAACAAAGCATTCCACAAGCACTCCATAACCGTGCATGCAGGCACTTAATCCAGAACTGTGAGCCGTTCCTTTTGCTTTTCTCTACTAGACGTGTCCTTGGTTCTCAGCCTTGCCATCTCACGCTGTTTACCTCGCTCCACAGCATTTGCTCCAAATAGTCTCTCTTGTATTCCCACAAACAAGCACCATCCAGTCAGATTTTAAGAAAAAGCTCTTTTGTGAGCAGTGCTCTGCTCCCAGCCGCACCGCATTGTTTGCTTCACAGAGCTTCCGAGCTGGCTCACTGACCATAAAGCTGCTGACAAAAATAAGTGTGCTCGTAGCATGGACAAGAATAACTCATTTGGCAAAGTGAAGCATTTTACTTCTATGCACATTAAAATCTACATCATATTCAGACTTTAAAATAAATCCAGGTCTCTGAAGCAGTGGAAGAAGAAAAGGAAAACAGCGAGAAGAGGACCAGGAAATCCATTCAGAAACTATAGGGAAAAAGAGATTTTAAGTGCAGAACGCCAGCTGGATACTCACTGTCTTCTCTAGCAGTGAACATGCATCCCAACAAAACAACAGTAGAAGCAGACTGGAGCCTCCAGGCCTCCAACAGAAAATTAGTTCTTATTGAATGAAACATCTAACATATTCTGAAGCTTTCTCAAGTGACAGAAGAAAAACGGTGTCAGTTATCCTAGCTGGTCTCTTACATATATCCAGTTTTTCTCAAAAAATAAATCAAGGAGATAAATCTTGTTGAAGTTAGAAACACATGCAGGAATGCAAAGAAAAAAGAAAAAAAAGGGAGAGTGGTTCTTCTGACAAGCGTATTGAACTATGTTATATCCTTTCATCCTCTAAAACAAAGTTGCATGTTCTTCTTTAATGGTTACAGTACCAAGCGTCCAAGTCTGCAGAAGAGCATCTGCTCTCGGCAGCCAGAGCCTGGCTTAGCGAGGTCAGCGCTGCGGCTGCGGATTCGGCAGCCCGTGAAAGCACGTCGCTTTTAACGCAGCTCGTTTCCCTGCATTCGGTTCGTCTCCGAAAGCTCCTCTTTGCCCGCGCCCCTAGCCCTGCCCGGGGAGCCCCGCCACGGGAGGCCGCAGGCGCCCGTAGTAACGCTCCGCGCCCCGCAGGCCCCGCAGCGCGTCGGCCGACGACGGGCAGCGCGGCCCGCGCCGCGGCAGCTCAGCTCAGCCAGGCCCGGCTCCGCCGCTCGCTCCCCGTACGGCCGCAGCACAACGGCAGCAGTAGGGCAGCTCGACCCGGCCCGGCCCCACCGCGTCCGCCATCGCCGCCACGGCGCCTCGCGTCATCACGCCGCGCCGCGCTCCGATTGGCTGCGCCGCCGCTCGCGGAGCTCCGATTGGACGGCGGGCGCGCGTCCGGCGGCGGTTGAACGCGGCGCGGACGGGCAGTGCCGTCCGCCGTGCGGGAGCGGGGCTCGGTGCGCTCGCGCCGTTCCTCGGCCCTCATGGCTCCTGCCCGCAGGAAGGCGGCCGCGGGCGCGCGCGGCAGGAAGCTGAGCGCCTTCCTGAAGGACTTCGACCGGGAGGGTAGGCCGCGGGCGGGCCGCGGGCCGCGCTCGGGCCCGGGCCCGGGCCGCGTCTGACACCGCGTCCGTCCCCGCAGTGAGGAGCCGGGTCGAGCAGCTGCGGGCGAACGGGGAGCGCCTGGTCAAGGAGGTGGAGAACCTGTACGACGTGGAGCTCCTCCGGCTGCCCGTGGCGCTCCGCGAGATGAACTGGCTGCAGTTCTTCGGTAGCGGCGGGGGGCGCGGGCCGGGGGCGCGGGCGGGCGGGCGGGGGGCGCGGGCTGCCCCTGGAGCGGCGCTCGGAGGCCGTCGCTGAGGAGCGGTGGGACGCGGCGCGCGGGGCTCGCGCGAGCAGAACGCGGGTGGGCGCGGGCGGATGCGCCGCCCCCTCTGCCCGGGGCCGCTCGCTCGCCGCCGGAACGCCTGCTGTGCGCTGCGCGCTCCTGCGGCGGCGTTACGGCGCGGCTGCGGGCGCTGCGGGAGCTGTCCCGGCTGCGGACCGCAGCGACGCTTCCAACCGAGATGTCTTCTTTCTAGCTGAAGGGGGAAGCCGGAAGGTCCTGGAGGAGGCGGTGACGGTAGGTATCCGGCGCGAATGGGAAACTTTTCCCGGCGCGCGGTGCGTTCCTGGAGGAGACGAAGGCTTTGTGTATCCGCAGGAGCGCCGCTGCGATAGCGCGGGTTGTGCCCGCGGATCTGAACTGTTAAGGCTTAGCGGGAGGAGATGCTGCGGTGTCCCCTGCAGGGTTTGCGTGCTCGTGCTGCTCCTTGCCCGGCTTTGCGGGCCTGCTTAGTTTCATGCTAAGGGATCGCCGAGGTTGGAAAAGACCTCCCGGGCCGCTTCCCAAATTCCGGGATGGTCACGGTTTCCCCTCTGAGCCCGCTGTGTAATCACCACCAGCCGCTTACTCCAAGTGGCATCAGAAGCACGTCGTGTGCAGGGGGCCTTTCCTTGAAACATGCAGTTTGAACTGGTAATCAAGGTGTTAAGGGGAGCCGTGCTTCAGTGCTGATTGCTGACGAAGCAGCTCCTCAAACTCCCTCTGTTGGGCCGGGCCCCAAATAATTTGTGCCCCCATGGGTCTGCTGGGGCCGCAGTCTTCCCTCTCTTCAATACCTGCCTGACCTCTCCGGGTTCTGCAGGAGTCTGGGAGGGGAGTTCCGTGGCACCGGGAGTGTCCGTCCGCTTCTCTGAGTTTTCTCCTGAGTTCCTCCACACCCTCTGCCACTCGCTGTTACCCGGCTTTGGGGGAGGTCCGCGGCCGAAACACGGCAGTGTGAACAATGTGACTGTGTTGGTTGGGACGTTCCAGAAATGTCCAGAAATGTTGGGGGGGAGAAAAGGAAAAGCGTGGGAGGAGGGAAGCTTGGAAACCTGTTGAAACATCTCTCTGCCCATCGACAGATTCCCTGGGAAGGCAGTGGGGGGCATAGAAGCATTAGCACCTTCAGGGCGTAGCTTTTGAGGCTCAAACCGTGCTGCATTGTATACAAACCCCAGACGGGTGACCCAGCTGTGCTTTTAGGGCTGTTGTGCATATACACCCTACAGCCAGGGGCATGCTCTGGGCAGCCTCTGCCAGTACGCCTCTCCCAGTCCTCTTTGCATTTTAACATTCTTCAGGGATGGTCATAAAGGAAAAAAAAGAACTAAACACGATATAATCGCTCTCCATTGGCTGCTCCATCATCACACATGGAGATCGCTAACGCACCGGCCCTTCTCTCCTGCTATCTGTAAGGTTGCTCTCCTCCCTTGGAGTCATTTTGCGGGGCCCCACGCCTTGGGGGTTTGCTCCTAGGCCTCTGGAAGAGCACGCGCCTCTCAGTAAGCTGAAGCACTGCTGTGCTGTTGAGCAGCAGGGAGTAGGTGAAGCGTGCTCACAGCTGCCCAGCAGGGCGTGCTGGCGCTGAAGGGCACGAGATCCATTGTGTCCGGAACAACGAGGAAGGACCTCTTTTAGCACAGCAGAAGAACGGGAAGATACAGTTATGTTAGACAGTTGTGTATGTGAAATAGTTACAAAGATTTTGCCTGCAACTTTGACTTATCACAAACTCGCAGTACTGATCATCCCGACAATATTATGACTTCTTAATCCTAGGCAGACTTGGGAATAACAGAAATAAACAAGCTGACAGCAGAATTTATCCAGACTCCTCTGAAAATCGTCACGAAAGGTCAGTAGATAACATTCTGTAAATGCTGGTTTGGTTCTTAGCTACAGCCTTCGCTACGTGTGAAGACAAGGATGTAATTCTGCCTTTACTCCTGCGACCTGAAGTAGTTTTACTTGCTTTAATTAAGGCATTCTGGATAATTCACAGCCATGTTCTCTTTACTGTTGTCATCAGAATTCAGATTTTAGAAGCAAACAGTTGCCGAAATAAGCCTGTAGTGTGTTTCCTTACCTTAGCTAATGCTCAGTTACGTCATGTTAGTTTTTTTTTTCCTGTCAACCTGAATAATGCTTTCTTCTTTTCGTAGAAAAATCTAAACAGGGTATTGAAGCTACTGAAGAAGCAGCAGAGGTTCCTTTGCTTCCTCCAGCAAAGAAAGCGAAACACGATGTCCAGCTTCTTCTGGAGCAAGCAGCTGCAGGTACTAATCCCAGAAACGGAAAGGTAAGCAGCTGCTCTTTGTGATGGCTTTTATTCCTGGGATATAAACTATGTACCGAGACGATGCTGATGCCTATGGGGGAACAGCGTGCAGGATGCTGTAAGGGTGGCTTTCCAAAAGCTGTTGCTTGCTGATCATCCCGGTGACGCTGGAAGCTGGCTTTCGTTGGCAGGTCGTGCTGTTACTTGTGGCGAGCAAAGCGACTGTGCTGCAAGTTACCTCTGCTTTTATTCCTCTTGTACTTCTGCACGTGAGAGTCTCACCCTTCTCATCTGAGCGGGTGTCTTCAGCGTTGCTGTATGGAGGGAGCGATATTCCCTAGAGCAGAACAGTCTGGGCCACGTTGAAAATATTTACCAGCAGTGCTTTTCGGCTTTGTAGTTTCTGAGTTGTGCTGTGGGCAGCGGTAAATACATGAACCGTCTCGAGTCAGAGTGGAAGTTAAGGTGGTCTGTTATCCTCCTGAAGTTCTGCAGCTGAGCTTCGGGGAAAGGACGTGAGGGCAATACTCGAATGGGGAAGGTCTCAGAAGGTTGTCCCGTGGCTTGTGTCAGACTCCCGTGCTGCAGGAAGGAGCCTGCTGAGCCAGGCGTTTCGTATGGGAGCGTTTGCTCGGTGCGGACTTGGCTGTCCCAGGAGAAGGAACTGACTGACTTGGCAGCTAATGTGTTTCAGGTGAGGACGTCCACTAAAAAAGCACCAGCGTCCAGGAGCAGAAGAGCTCCTTCAGCAAGAGTGAAACGCATGAGTCAAAGGTAACAGCGATGAGTTTTGTGGCAGGATTTCAGAAGCAGAGAGTAAAGGTGCGGTGCTAACGTAGCTGCAGAGTGGGGCGGTGCGTGGCCCGGCAGGCTGGGTGGTGTGGGCATGGCGTGCCGTAGGGCGGTCTGTGAGGACCCTGGTTTGTCTCGTCCAGGTCTTTGGTAAGACAGTGCTTACGTGTCCGTTAAAATTATGCTTCTGAGAGCAGGGCTCTGCTTGCATGCTTCCTTTTAAGCAGATCAAGCAAAAGCAGCTTTATCACTCCAGCTACTGGCAGAAATCTCGATCTCTGTGCTCGAGGAGGCGCCTCCATCATCACACCCAGGTTTGATTCCAGGTCTGTATTCTATTGCATTTCTCTGTTAATGTCTCGTACAGAGGAGTGCCTTGCTGCTTGCTCCTTACACCTCAGTTGTCTATATGCAGAATACTTTCCAGCAGCGCTTTGATCCTGCAGTGGTTCAAAGTTTTGGTCCAAGTGCTCCAAGAAATCGCAGTAAAAGTCCTTGCCTGTTGCTTTTTCCAGAGTTTTCAAGACGCCGGGTTTGCGCACACCCACAGTAAATGAACGTGTTTACACCATCTCTGCTAACGGCAGCCCCCTTGCTGATGGCAATGATGTCTTCATTACCGTTCCTGTTGGAGGAGGGGAGGTAAAATCAAACTTGAGTCTGTAAAATCTATGCAGCAAGGAGGGCCTGTGCCTTCTTGGGGGCCTTATCAGTTTCAAGGGACTGCTGTTCATCCATTCTCGCCCGCTTACTTGTGCCGCCGCAGCTTATCAGGAGGTAAATGTCGCTTAAAAAGAACCCGAAGAAGTTCTTAGTCAGAGCGGGAGCTGTCTAAGAATTCTGGCCTAAGCAGAATGCAGACTGCTGCTTTGCTGCGCTTTTGAGTGAAGCTGAAAGTACCTTCTGCTCACGGTGCTGCGTCAGCACACCAAGGGCAGCACGGGATGAGCTGGTCAAGCTGGATGTGGCTCTTGGCACGGACGCGGCCTCCTAGTGTGCAGGGAGGGGTTTCTTTGCTGCTTGTAGCTGCTGCTGCTGAACAACCGGGAAACCTGAGATTGGGTGGTGTTTGGCTTCTTGCAGAGCATTCGTTTAACAGCAAGTGATCTGACCAAGAAGAATCTTCTTCATCTCAATCCAGAGGCACGAGGCATTATGAAGAAGCTGTCTGTAAGTCTTTCCTTTTTTTTTTTTTTTCCGTTTGGGACCTGAAGCTGTAATGCAGCATTGTCTCTGTCCTTAATTGTTGTCCTTACCTGTTGAGCTACTGAGCTGTAACAGAAGCTTCTTACTTCAAGCCTTGTGTCTTAGCTCCTACCGCTGGTGGAGAAGAAGCATGAACTGGGAAGGGGAGGGAGAAAGCCTCACGCTTGTAGAAAAATAACTGTTGTCAGCATTTTGAAAAACTGAATCGAAACTAAAGGTGTCTTCTGCTTCGGGTGGGAAGCGGAAGTGGCTGTGGGTTATAATCTCTTTGGCTCTTTCTTTCTAGGTTCGTCTTGCACAAGCCTGTAGCAGTGCAAAAACCTACAGGTGAAGAGCAACGAATGTCAACACCTTTTGTACACGTGGAACTACTATAAGCTACAAGTACATTTTGTTTGGTGTCTTGTAATTCTGTGAGCATTCACTTAAAGAAAACGAAATAAAAAGAAAACAAACAGCAAAGCAGTTAAAACCTGTGCTGGGTAACTGACAACGCTGTTAATATTCAAACGTCCTTTTCCAGCAGTCAGAGCGATTCGGTTGTAGCTGGCACGAATCACAGCTACCTGGCAGCTAACAGCTAACCATATTCATCCCCCAAATCCATTTCCCATTCTGCCTGAGCCCCGTGTGCCTTCAGGGAGCGGGTAGGTAAGCAATAGTTCTTTTCTCTGCAGTGTATTGCTTGCGCACACTACTAGAATCTCTTCTGCCCCTTCTGCAGCCCACGTGGCAGTAGCGTTTGGTTTAACCAAATTGGAACTTCCTTCTCCTACTCAGTTCAAGTGTTTGAGGCAATGCAGGAAAGCTGGTTCACTTCCTGGTAACAGAATCTCTCAGTGTAATGCAAAAGCCCCAGCGCTTCTTCATTAAGATTTTCTGATCCTGAAGGAGGTACACAGAGGCAAATTATGATTAATTCATCCAGTGGAGAGGCACTGGCATTACTGCGGGCAGCTGCCCTGTGGAAGCAAGGTCATTCACACAAGGCAAGGAGACTGCAGAGCAGTTCCTCCCAAGCAAGTTTATTCTGCTGTCTGCAGAAGCGCAGGCTGAGGCGGTTTGCTTGTGTTCCCAAGCAAGCAGGAGACCTGCAGCTTGTGGCCGGAAGATGGCCATGGCATGCAATCACCAAGCAGCCCATTTATGCCTGGCCAGAAATGTTTGCCGATTAATGGGTGTTTGTAGTAACTTGGAATGTATGGTACTGGGTATGTAGGGCATCCCCAGATAATCGTCTGGAGCAGCTGAAGGGTAGCTGTGGCCAGCCGTGCTGACCAATGAAGAACCTCAAAGTGTCAAATGCACAGAGTACTTTCTAGGATTCTTATTAAAGGATTTGGGTAAGAGAATGTTCTTGAGCCAGCTTTTGGGTGAAGCTCCTGGAAGAAGCAGTGATGGTAGGTATCCAACACAAATTTAAAGTTCCTTTATAGAGCTGTACATTGCAGTAGCACGCCACTCTGTTTTATTGCATTCCCTTTCACTGTTCTTTTTCACTCCACTCATCTCTTTTCATTGCATTCCACTCCCATCCAGTTCATTTTATTGCGTTCCCTGTGATTTCACACCACTCTGCATCATTCAGCTCCACTATACCTCATTCCTTTTCATTTCTTTTCAATGTGCTCACTCCTCCCTCCACCACCGCACTTGTCCTTGCTCCCTCCCTTTGACCAGCTGCTCCTTGCTCAGCCTTGCTGGTTTCCTGCCTCCCCGTGGGGACAGAGACTTCTCACACTCTACCAAAGGCATCCTTAGAGTTGTTGGCTCTGTTTGGTTCCCGTTTCCTTAAGAACCTGTTTCCGAGGGACCTTTCCCCCTGATTCTTTTGAAAGAGATGGAAGTTCCTGCTCTTTGCTAAGCCCTCAGGGTCACAAACAGCCCGTACACAGTGGCTGCAGCCCACATTGCCTCCAGTCTTAACCTCTGTAATGAGCTCACCTGCACTGGTGGGGCTCCCAATGTGTTTGAGGGACACCCTGCAGATCTCGGGTCACCAAACTACTTGAGCAGGCACCCAGTGGCTCCGGATGACACTCAAAGGATCTTGTCATCTCCCCCTGAACTTCCTCCTGCCCCCCATTTCCTCACAGTCAGGTTTCCAGAGCCGGTACTCTGCATGCATCAAGCTTGGGCAGCGAGGCTGATGTCTCGAGCCCTGCAGTGCAGCACTGTCATCCCCTCGGGGTTGCCCAGCCCTCTGGAACCACCATGCCACAGGCGAACCTGCTGCCGCCCCCTAGCCGCAATTGCGTTCCCCACCGTAGCTGTGCGTCCCCAGGGCTCTATTCAGTGCCACAACACCCAGAGCGCCTGAACAGGGCAAAACC